TGCTGTAACATGACTTACAAGCGCCTCTTTCACCCCATGAATCCTGTTTCTCAATGAAGATGGCAACGTGACCAAGATCGAAGTTTGCAACTTCAAATGCTCTTTAAATCAAACACAAGAAAGAAAGTCCAGACACCCTTTCTTTCGGTGAGAAAGAGTAACTCTCACTTCCACTCTCACCTGAATTGCGTAACTCAAGAGAGCAAGAGGCAACTTTCCTTGGACTCTTCAAATAAACTCTCTTTAGGGATCAGGCTATGCACAAGAAAATAGCTCAGCAGGAATTTAAAAGAGAGAGAGAGAGAGAAAGTGAGAAACTAGGGATAAAAGCAGGAAAGACCCTGAGCAAAACATGACCCATACCATCATGTAACACATGCACTACTGAACGTCAGCTATTTGTATGGAATCAGGGACAAGGAGTCAATTTAGAAAGTAGAGATGTGGTGGGGTCGTTTTAAGACAAAGAATACTCATGTGTGTTGGATGGATGGACACATGACCTAGTTTTGGATAAATGAAGCTAAGAATGGTTTACAATTTATGTGCGTCTGTTTCCAGCTAGTCTGAGAGGCAATCTGAAACTGTGTTATCAATTAGGAACCCATTGATGGATTATATACAGACTGAAAGAGCCTAAGGCTGGACATTTTACAGATGTAAATATCAGACATGTGATAGCCTCGAAAGCACATTAATTCTGCTCTGAAAAGGGCATGAGCCAGAGGAGGGGGAGGGGGAGCTCTAAGGTCACCCTCCCCCATCTCCCACTCCTCTCATATTACAGATGACTGTTCAAGAATGTGGACTTTGGCTGTAGCCACTGCCTGGTGGAATGTCACAAAACTTCAAATACAAGCAAGTCCGTTCTCAAATACCTGAACACTGCCAAAAACGGCTTGTAAATCTAGCTGCGTCAACTCTGCTGAGAACAACTCTTGTCAGTGAGGATGTTATATCAATACTTGGGACGTGATCTTGGAAACAGCCAAGTTCAAGATCTGATCTCTAACAACCTACGTCTTCCCTGACCATCCTCTTCCTCCCCACCTTTCCCTTGACAAATAAAGACTGTAATAAAACAACATTTTGTCAGGATCCCCAATCATGTGCAGCTGAGTTCTACTCTAAAACCTCCATCACAGAAGAAAATCTTAGTGTAATTAATAGGTCTTCAGTGCCTCCTCCAACCTGCTCTCCCTGTCTCCTCGCCTCACTCTCAGCTGAGGGTCTTGCTTCCTAATTCTCTGAGAAAACACAATCACTATTGCAGGTCATGCCCCCAAGTTCCTGGCATCACATTGGTCATTATGGGCCTTCCACACACTCCTTCTTCCTTCTTCCCATTATGAAAGAATACTCTGTGCTTTTCCATCTTCTACTTGGAATCCCACCATCTCTTGCCTAATCAAGGATAAGGCTGTAGCAACTGTCCCTCTTCACTTCTCTCTTTTATCTACTGAATCATCCCCTTTGGCACATGACCTTGCCATAATTTCTCTCAATTTAAAAATATTATTTAGAATCCTTGTGGCCCTCCAGCTTTCCATTCAGCAAACCTCTGGAGTTCATGTGTTTCTGCTCCATTCTTAAGAGCCTGATGAAGATCAGCCTTTCTTTTATGCTACCATTCCATCAAACAACCTTTGTCAAATTCACCAGTTAATTGGTGTTTATGTTGCTAAATTTCATTTTCTCAAGAGCCTTCATCTTACTAAGGGCCTATTTAGCACAGTTGATCTCTCCCTCTGTCTTGAAACACTTTTGTCCTTTGGCTTCAGGCTCTCTTGGTTCTCCTACCAGACTGATTGCCATCTTAGATTCCTTTGCTGCTTCCTCTTAGAGTGAACTCTAAGTTGTCAAGTGCCCCAAGACTCAGTCTTTGGACCGTTTGTCATTATTTTTTCCCCATGGTCACTTGCTGTATGATCCTACTGAGTCTCATGATTTAAGTATTACCTATACACAATGAATTTAAGTGATAAATGTCCTGTCTGGCCCACTCTCTGGACTCCAGACTTGTCTGGGCTTCCCTGATAGCTCAGCTGGTAAAAAATCCACCTGCAGTGCAGGAGACCCTGGTCTGATTCCTGGGTTGGGAAGATCCACTGGAGAAGGGAAAGGCGACCCACTTCGGTATTCTTGGGCTTCCTTTGTGAAAGGCTACCCATTCCAGTATTCTTGGGCTTCCCTGCTGGCTCAGCTGGTAAAGAATCTGCCTGCAATGTAGGAGACCCGCGTTTGATCCACGGGTTGGGAAGAGCCCCTGGAGAAGGGAAAGGCTACCCACTGTAGTATTCTGGCCTGGAGAATTCCATGGACTGTATAGTCCATGGGGTCGCTAAGAGCTGGACACGACTCAGTGGATTTCACTCTGGGCTTCCCTGGTGGCTCAGATGATAACAAATCGGCCTAAAATGCAGGAGAACTGGGTTCGATCCCTGGGTCGGGAAGATTCCCCAGAGAAGGGAACGGCAAACACTCCGGTGTTCTTGCCTGGAGAATTCCATGGACAGAGGAGCCTGGTGGTCTATAATTCATGGTGTTGCAAAGAGTCGGACATGACTGAGTGACTTTGACTCACTATATACAATGAATCTAAGTGATAAATGTCCAGTCTGGCCCATTCTCTGAACCCCAGACTTGTATACACCACTGTCTCTGAGACATTTTCCCTTAGATAACTAACTTTTCTAAAACTGAGATGTCAATTCCTTTCCTCCCACAGAAACCTGTTCTTCCTCACCTCCCCATCAACTCTGTCATTCTTGTTGATGAGGTCAAATATCTTGGAAGTCCTTCCCAGCTCTTCTCTTATTCTTAAACATTCTGTACTGGGCACAACTGAAGGAAAGAGGGCAAATACGGAATCTGGGAAATGAAAGACCCAAGTTCCAGCTCTCTGCCCTGAGCCAGCCTTGGAATCTACCATTAGAATGTCTCTCTGCCCATTCCATGCCCTTCTCTCCTCTCTTTTTATGAAAAGTATTTTCACTGGATTCTCTTTCTAGTAGTAAATCCTACCTTCTCAAGAAGGCCTCCAGATTCTCCGACCAATTTTTTAAAAATGACTGAATTAATTATATATTGGTCTAGACAAGAAGTGCCTGGCAGATTTAGGTTGCATCATTTAGCTAACAGCTATAGTTTTTTAATCCCTAAGCAACATAAAGCTTACAGTTCTTTCTTTCCAGACCTAATAGATTACCTGGTTTGTGTATACAATGCCCAAAGACTAGAATTCTTCCTCTGAACCAATGCTGGGTAGGGCTCTACAAGTAAATATTCTGGGTCTCTGGCTTTTCTCTTGTCTTATACATGTTTCCCAGAGGCCTGGAATCTGGGAAATATACTTCTTCATGTATAAGGATTAAATCTTTTCTCTCTCCAGTGATGAGGGAAGTCTTAGGACCATTCTGAGCCTCAGACTATTCCTTGGTAAAATCCTAGGACTGAGGTTGGTAGGTAATTTCTAAAGGCATTTCTAGCTTTTATTTTTTAATTAATTTATTTTTAATTGAAGGATTATTGCTTTACAATATTGTGTTGGTTTCTGCCATACAGTAACATGAATCAGACATAGGTATACATATGTCCCTCCCTCTTGAGCCTCCGTCCTACCCCATCCCACACCTCTAGGTTGTCACAAAGCCCCATGTGAGTTTCCTGAGTCATATAGCAAATTCCCACTGACTATCTGTTTTATAAATGGTAATGTACATGCTCCCATGCTACTCTCTCCATTCAGCCGAACCTCTCCTTCCCCCGCTCTGTTTCTACAAGTCTGTTCTCAAAGTCTGGGTCTCCATTGCTGCCCTGCAAATAGGTTCATCAGTATCCTTTCTAGATTCCACATATATGCCTTACTATATGATATGTGTTTTTTTCTTTCTGATTACTTCACTCTACATAAAAGGCTCTAGGTTCATCCACCTCATTAGAACTGACTCAAATGCATTCCTTTTTATGGCTGAGTAATATTCTGATGTATATATGTACTACAGCTTCTTCATCCACTCATCTGTTGATGGACATCTAGGTTGCTTCCATGGCCTCGGTATTATAAATAGTGCCAAAATGAACACTGGGGTACAAATGTCTTTTGCAATTATGATTTCTTCAGGGTATATGCCCAGTAGTGGGACTGTTTGGTCATATGATAATTTTTTATTCCTAGCTGTTTAACACTTCCAGCTTTTTTAAAAGGCAAAGCCTTCAGGTTCGAGGCCCATCACTCAACAGCTGTGAACAACAAGACAGAGTGAGAAATGTAGATTGAACTCTAGGGCAAGAAAGCAGAGACATGGTGCCAATTTGAAGCTATATATAACTATGTGCACACATGTCCTACCCCTAGTAGTAATTACTATCACATATGACTGAGCTCCGACCAGACCAATAAGAAAGTTCAACATACAGTCAGTTGCCCATATCCACAGATGTGAAATACACAGATTTAAAATGCCAACTGTATTCTTTATACCTCACCATTTTATGTAAGGGACTTGTGCGTCTGCAGATTTTGGTGTCAATGGGGGATCCCTGGAACCAAGTATCTGCAGATACTGAGGGATGACTGTATAGCATCATGGCACTGTTCAGTAGTAGGAAAGTAACCTCATCATTCTTCAAACTGCCTCCTCCAATTAAAAATTATAAACAGGGAGTACAAATGAAATTCAACACTTCCTAAATGCAGAGACAATTGGGTCTCTAAGGTAACCTTTAAATATGAATCTGCTAACAAATGAGATAATAGATGAAGAATCTAGCAAATCACATGGCATGGTTCACAGACATAGATGTAATGTAGTGAATGCTCAATACATGTCTGCTTTATTTTCTTCTTCCTTTCCCTATTTTGAGTGTCAGCTTGCCAGAAAGAAATACCTAACTTTAAGAACATACTTTTTTTCTTCCAAACTATATGTAAAGCAATACATTTATTCAAAAATGTGGTGGAAAACAGTTCACCTTTATGAAGTCAAGAGATTACTAACCTGAATTTAAGTCTCGTCCTGGATTGAAGGCCCGGCTATTAACAGTAGTAGATAGTCGATCACAACTAATTGTTCTAGATACATTGGTATTAAAGTTCCCATCAAATCTGAAACAACAGAAGAGAATCAGCAGTATTTATCTGGTCATTATTAAATCCAGAAAACAAACAGAAGTTAATAGTTCATACTGTGTACAGAATAAGTCAGCTCATGAATAGCAAAATTTCCATTTAAATATTAAAAAAATCACTTCAGAGTATTGTGGGCAAACCCAACATCTGCATCTCAAGGTTTTAGCAATCAAAATAAATTCTAAGAAGATTAAAAAAAAGAAAATCCTTCAAGACAACTTTCCCTGCAGTGAATGAGCAGGTACTGTTGATGATATCATACAGAAAGTAGATTTGACAAAATTTAGACCAGAATAACAAACATTCAGACTTAAGCTCTCATGTGACTTGTGAAAAAATTCTTTAAATTATTCTGTCTGAAAACCAATGACCAAGAATAAAAGCAGACAGTAGTGAAGGAGATGGAACGGCTTCAGAGTAAGAAAGATCTAGATTTGAATCCTTGCTTTGTCACTATTACATGTGTGAACTTGCATAAATTGTTAAATCTTTCTGAGCCCCAGGTTTCTTATCTGAAAAAATAGAAAAAACATTTCCCAAAGCTGTGAAAAGGCTGTAAACAATGTACCACAGTTCCTCTCCTGATAAATGATACACAGCTTGCATGTTTCAGGATGTAACATAGATGAGGCCAAAGTCTTTCCTGATTTATAGTGGGAGTGCAAGGCTGATACTAGAGTTAGAACAATGCTAAGTCTCTGGCTAATAGCTGATCAATAAACACAAATGTAATTATGACTCATTTGACAGGGCAAACAATCTACAAGAAAATAATAAGAAAATCTACTGACTCATTTATATATAGTCACTAAGACTACTTTCCAGTGAATTTTATCCAGAAGTAACAAAAGAGAAAACTCATGAACTTCTAAATAAGCTATTTTGGATTTCAGATACTGAGAAGATTCAAGAAGTTTCTAAGTTACCTGCAAATAAACTCAATCTGAAATTAGGTTTTTAAAAATTAGTGTTAAATGTGTATCTCTGATTAGAAATATCATTAATGAAATTTCATTAACACAGGTATAGAAGCTCTTACGACCCTGAAGAAACACTCCTAAAAATCAAGATCTACTTTATCATTCACATGAATGTTGATTTTATGGATCTTTTTTATAAGAACTCTTAAATTGAACTGGCTGTGTAAGCAATGGGACTGGGTTTTCAAAGGGTGTGTTGGGTTCCAAAGCAGTTTTGTTTTGATACATATCATCTCAAAAGAGGAGACCTTTTAAGAGATTTTAAGAGACTCTTTAGTCCAGTCTCTCATCCAGTATAGAATTATATCAACATTGTTAACTGTGCCTCCAAGGACACAGTTGCTTTATAAGTGTGGTCACTCTTCCTTGGACCTGCTCCAGTTTGTCTAGACGAGAAGATTGCGGCCTCAAAAGCCACAGATGGAGAGAAAAGAAGAGATTACTATATCAGCAGCTGCCGGAGTGTATGCTGGCAAAGCAAAATAATCTCACCGTCCTCTCTTGTTTTAGCATTTAACATCTGTGAAGCAAGAGTAGCATTAGACAAGGAACTCACTTGCTCGCCATGCGCTAAATGGTCATATTAAATCTATTCCCTCACACACTTTTTAAATTAAAGACATAATATTTAGGCTTTGTGGGCTACAAGGTCTCTGTCACAATGACCAACGTCTGCCTTCATGGTGTGAAAGCAGCCAGAGAGAATTTTTAGAGGAATAAATATGGCTGTATCCAGGAAAACTCGATTTTCAAAAATAGGTGGTGTACCACACTTGTTTCACCACCTCTGATCTAGACTGGGGCAGTCCTACAGAATTGTCTGAGATGATGAAAATGTGTCATTTTTGCACTGTTCAATATGCTAGCCACATGTGACTACTGAGCATTTGAAATGTGGCTACTGTAACGGAGAAACGAAATTTTCAATTTTGCTTAACCTTAATTTAAATGTAAACAGTCACCAAATAGTAGCTACCGTGTTGGACAATGCAAGTCTAGAAGGTTCTCCTGATTACCTAATTATCCTTCAAGTCTTTGTTCACCTATAACTTACCCTGAAAAACTTGATTTTGAATGCTTTCCTAGTCTATGTCAAGTGTTTCCATCTTGAATAATTTTAAATTTATGGATCCATTTGTATATGTCTTTTTAATTGGACAACACTTGTAAATGTTTTTAATGGGTGGCTTTTTATGGTTCAGGCCATATGAACAGACAAAAGCCCCTGAGAGCAGATCCCATGTCTTGTTGGTTTTAGTCACCACTGTGTGTGTACATATATGTGCATGTGTGTGTATGTATATGTATGTGTGTGTGTGTGTATATAAAACACTAAGCACTGTTCTTATCAAAAGCAGGCACTCATATTAACTGATCGTCTATGAACATTCTTCATATGTGCTTAGTCCTATTTTGGATTCCTGTGGAAGGCTCCAGAGGTCTTAACAACTGAGGACCATCCCTCAGATAAATGGTTCCTAATTATCGAAAGTCTAAGCCATATCAGAATCACCTGGCAAAATGTTGGAATGCAGATTCCTGGGCTCTACCCTGGAAGATTCAGAAGTAGTGAGTCTAGGGTAAAGTCCTCCCTGAAATCTGACTGTGACAGGCTCCTGAGGGGTAAGAAGCCCTCCAATCCTGTCATGTAGATTCCTTTAGAAATAAAGCAGTACAAAGGCTTTCCAGGAACTTCTCCCTATGCCTCAAAGAGACCAAGGACAGAGGATCTTTCAGTTTGAAGACAGCAGAGGAATTCTTAGGTATGTCTGAAACTCATAACTGGACTTTGCTATACAAATTACAAACCTTTTTCACACCTAGCTATCTCCCAGTTGAGGAAAGTGATACCAAGGAACACACAGCAAATCAGGGACCTAAGAAAGACTTGACCTCATCACTACCTCCCTGTCCAAGGATGAGGCACACGTATTGCTTTATTTAAGTGACACATAAAGAACTTGTTGAAGAGGATGGGCAACTCAAGAGAGCAACTGACAGCTTCTCCCAGAAGAAGTGTAAGCCTGAAGACAGCCCTCCTTCCCTGGATGGAGTCTCTATGGCCAGGACCTGGGCCATCAGCCCCAACTCTGGAGAGGGTCAAAATCCAGTGCAGCACATACAGATTTCTTTGACCACTGTGAAATGATAGCTCACTCCTGAACCAGGGAGACTAGGGAACTATTTTTATGGGCTGTTTTCCTTTTTGTACTGAAAAGGTCATCTCTCAGAGCATTAAAGAAAATATTTTTTGTAACAATAAAACTGCAAGTGACACATTAACGAGAGTAGGTGCTCAGTAGACATTTGTCAGTCATAAAAAGGTTTCACTATATAGTGCTTGTCATCAATAATCTGCCCAACCTTCTTTTCCCACTGTGTCCCAACCTGTAGTTCTACTCAGACCATAGTTCTAATCAACACAGGTTCTTTTCTGATGGGTCCCAACTGTGATGCTTTTCAGAGTTCATAGTGCCCATTCCACAAAGATGAGCTCTTCTGATTTTCCTCCCAGGAAGTCCTCTTGTCAGCCCCAAGCCTATGAGGAGCCTTTTCTCCTCTTGTGTCTCTTTCCCCTAATTTTTAAATACTCTTTTATAAACAAGCTTAGCATAATGTCAATAAAGTTGATGTCTGATAGATACACTGGTTGGTTTTAGATTTTACTTATATCAACAAAATACTACTCAATAAAAATTCGAACATAAGGTTTATTTATTTTTTTTTCCATTTATTTTTATTAGTTGGAGGCTAATCACTTTACAACATTGCAGTGGTTTTTGTCATACATTGAAATGAATTAGCCATGGATTTACATAACATAAGGTTTATTATAAATAATGAGCAAATTATCTTACATATTTTGCCTTCTGCACACACTAAATAAAGGTATAGTAAGAAAAAAATGCCAAGATATTTTTGTTATGGAAGCCTTATTGTCTAAATTCTACCACCCAGCACTCTAATGCCCAATTCTCTCTATAACCTTTCGCATATCTGAGAAGTCTTAGTTCTGCCAATGGGATTGTGGGTTATTGAGGATTTATAGTTCTCTCTCAGGTCCAGTACATTGCTGGGAATGTAAGTTTTCTTATTGGTAGCTGACTGCTGTGAAAGGACAAAAAGCTAAGTCACTGAAAAGCTCTGCATATTTCATTCAATCATATTCAGAGAACATCTGTGATGAAAACAGGAACTGCCACCTGGCAAAGCATGCTGTGTCATGGTCAGGAGCATGCCCTCAGACGTACACAGACCTGAACTGGAGTTTGGGTTTAAAATGCTTATTGCTAACTCTTGCATAGAACTTACATGTTTGAAGCCCCATTTTTCTCATCTATAAGATGGTGATAAAAATTGTATCTATTCTGTAACCAGAAAATAGCTCTGAAGAGCCTTGTACCTAGGAAACATTTAATAATAACAATGAATATTAGGTGTATTAGTAATGGTAACAGTTAACAGCTCCCATGTTACATTGTATCAAGAATATTCCAAGTGTTTTACACAGATCAATTCACCTAATCATTACAAACCTGAGAGAAATACTGCTATTATTTCATTTGAAGACCAAGAAACTGAGGCACAGAAATGTTAATTAAGAAGTCCAAGCTTCACAGTTGGGAAGTAACAGGATCAAGATATGAACATATATTCAAGCTCTCCTTCATAATGAATACATTATACTGTATCTCAATAAAATCAATAAATTGTCATTAGCATTATCAACAACTGAAGTACGATTCAGTTCTCTCAAAGAAAAGGATTATTCTAAAGGCTTGTGGGGCTTAGGGGAAATCTTTGCTTTTTACTTAATAGGAAATGACAGTTGCTAAGCATAAGACTCATAATGGATAGCTGCAGAGAAAGAACTCTATGGACAAAGATGAGGAAGATGGAGAAGATATAATATTAAAGGCAGCTATTCTCTATCAATTGTAGATAACTTGGATTTTTAAAATGTTCACCACTGGCATAACTTTGGAATGGTCCACT